TACCTCTTTCAGAGAAATAGTCTTCAATTATCCTCTTTTGCATCACTTCTGGCAGTGAATCGATGTTAATGCCGGTCGAGTCAGTGAAGGCGCCCCCAAAACCTAATATCTTTTGATAGGTTTTACTTCTGTCTATAGTAATGGTTTGATTGAGTGCTGGGTTTGTGTCAACAATTGTGTTGTAGTTAAACATGAGTTGAGTTCGTTTGAAACGATCGCCACTTTTAGTCGTCTCGTAGACAGTGACCACTCCTTTGGCAGTCTTTGATATGGGATCCAAATCATCGCAATACGTCCGATTGCATACACACACTGTCGACCCAAACTTGTAATCCCGGGCCACACATGGCTTATGATCACATAATACTACAACCACTAATTATATTGAATAAATAATTATTTTAAATTTCTATTTTAAATTAAATAATAAATTGAAAATAATTTTCATTTACCGAAAGTAGTGACAATAAATATGAATGTTAATATTTGTTTCATTATTTATTAACTGTGTATAAATTAGTAAATATTTTTATGAATTTCTATTTTTATTTAGAAAATCTTTATATACATATACTCTAATGTTAAACATAGATTAGGAAATTTGCAGGTTTCAATTTTCTCAGCTGACAGCTAACAGTGATTTTCCAAAGAGTCCAAAGAGATAGGAATTTAATTTTTTAAAATAATCCAAACCAGGATTTTAATTAATATGGAGTAGTTATCATGTTTGTGTTCATATGAAAAATGTTAGTTTAGTGTTATCTCAATTTAAAGAAAAAATTTATTTATGAAACCAAACATATGTTTAATATTTTTGATAAGATTAACTAAATTTGACATAATTTGCTGTAATATAGAATAGTCAAAAGAATATATAATTTTTTAAAGATTTTTAAATCAAAGGTACAATTTATACATATTTCTTGACTAATTAAGCTACACAAAAATAGACATTTTTACAAAATAAAAAATATTATCTTTAGTAATATAAAAGTGTAAATTTAATTGAATTTTTGTTTTATTAAATTTTTAGCAAATAATAATTTATTTTTAGAACATTTTAATTGACAATTATTAATTATTAATTAAATGTAATAAATGTATGTTTGAATTGACCGGGATTTCACAGAATGAGACACTTTTTGCTTTAACTCTAAGTCATTAATTATGATATCTATGGGTTCGTCACCTAAATTAAGAGATTAATTATTAATTAAATGTAATAAATGTATGTTTGAATTGACCGGGACTTCACAGAATGAGACACTTTTTGCTTTAACTCTAAGTCATTAATTATGATATCTATGGGTTCGTCACCTAAATTAAGAGCAATAACTACAGTTCCCCCGTCCGGTCGCACAAAAGTGGTTGACAACAGTGTGTCAACAGAGGGTTCTTGTGATTGGAAAACCCTTTGAGAGCCAGGAGTCAGGAATTTGCTGTAATGTCCCAAAGCATAGAAAAAGGGCTGTTTGTAGTACTCCTGACTCGTGGCGTTCACTATAACGGGTGCGTCGACGAAGTTGTTCACCCAATTGGGTCCGCCCTCCGTATCCAACGCCAGGTTCCAGTCAACCCAACCACTCGACCAGTGATTCAAATCCTAGAAATTTAATAATTTTTTATTTAAATAATAAAACATAGAATTGATGTGTAGTATAAATGCATGCCATCATAATATCTTTGGCATATCTTTCAAACAGTTGCCAACTGCCCAGATATACGTGTTTGTCTTTCCCACGCCATTCCTCACAGGCCTCAGTACTCAATAAATATTTGGTTTCGTCCACAGATCTAGTCTTTGCCAATATATCTGTCACTTCAGTGTAGTTCTGGTTTTGATACCAATGGAAAGCACTTCCCGTCACATATTTGGCCGCCTCTTTGTCCGCGTATATAATGTCCGCCCATTCGTACAGATTCTTGATGTTGTCGTCGTATATCATTAGTTGAGTCCTGTTTATGCCATACCCGGCCTTTTCAAGTGTAGGTCCCAAATCAAGTTTTATAAAGTCTCGTTGAAGTTCTGGAGTAAAGCCCAAGCAATTGAATCTGAAGTGAGGTTTCAATGCATTTCTGGGTTCATTGGCCACAGTTAGGCCCCAAATGGGGATTCCGTTCGCTTCATAGATGTCTAAAAATCTAAATATTTATTAATTACTGTATATTAAACTCTTTCATGATATGCAGCCCTACCTGACCAGATAATTTGCGTAAGTTTTGTAATATTTGCCACCGGGTTCACCAATGATATACCCACCGTCATTTAGCTCAGAGTTATTTTTAAGCCACGCCGGGGGAGACCACGTGCTCCCGAAGAATTGCACTCTATTTAGACTCACATTTAAGGCATACTCCAAAAACCGGGTTCACCGATGATATACCCACCGTCATTTAGCTCAGAGTTATTTTTAAGCCACGCCGGGGGAGACCACGTGCTCCCGAAGAATTGCACTCTATTTAGACTCACATTTAAGGCATACTCCAAATAAGGCAACTATAATATATTCAATCAATCAAAATAAATAAATGAAACATTAAATAAAAAATATTTAGACAAACTTTATATTTAAAGTCTTCTTCAGTGAGACTAAACTTAAGTAAATCAAAGTCGTCTTTATTATTGTCGTCATAACTGTAGGGATGGGTCGAGAAGTCTGAGCCTCCGATGGGAATGCGTCCCAAATTGTACTCAATTCCCGATTCAGAGAAATAGTCACTAATTATACGGTTTTGTAAGTTTTGTGACAAACTTTTGATGTTAAGTCCGGCGGCGTCTGTGAAGGCGCCCCCAAAGCCCACAATCTTCTGATAAACGCCTTTACTTTTGTCAACAGTTATTGTCTGCGATTTGTTTGCATTAAACTCAGAATTGTCTCCGAATTTCAATTCTGTTTTCACAAATCGATCGCCACTTTTACTCGTCTCGAAGACAGTGACCACACCTTTCGGTGTCTTCACGAGTGGATCCAAATCATCACAATGTGTGACATTACAGACACAAACTGTTGATCCGTATCCATAATCTTTAGGAAAACATGACTGATGACATTCAACTAAAAATTAAAAAGAATTAATAAATATTATTGTAAGGAATCTGAATAATAAATACATTACCAAATAATATTAAACTAAACCAGATCAAAATTTTCATAATAGAGATAATTTTGAATTTATGTTTAATATCAATATTTTACTCTTAAATTTACAAAATAGAGCACTTATAAAATAAAGTATTATATTTATTCAATTAAAAATAGGTTTTTATCTAATACTCAATGAAGAGGTAAAATAAAGTACAGTAAAGTACTACCTGTCCACTTAAGAGTTAGAAAGTATGAATCTAACTGTGCTAATATAGATAACAGTTGTCATGATATTATTAAAACGCTTTATTTGTAGCTAATTATTATTATTAACTCATAAAATTCATAAATAATTTAAAACAAAAACTTAATTGAATTAGGTTATTTTATTAATCTTTAAATATTATTTGGTGTAATACAAATAGGTTTGCATTGAATGTGATTTCAATAAGTGTGTCACTTTTTGCTTAGATTCCAAGTCATCAATAGTTATGTCTATGGGTTCGTCACCCAAATTAAGAGCAATAACTACAGTTCCCCCGTCCGGTCGCACAAAAGTGGTTGACAACAGTGTGTCAACAGAGGGTTCTTGTGTTTGAAACACCCGTTGAGATCCAGGGGTCAAGAATTTGCTGTAATGTCCCATAGCGTAGAAAATGGGATTTTTGTAGTACTCCTGACTCGTGGCGTTCACTATAACGGGTGCGTCGACGAAGTTCTTCGCCCAATTAGGTCCGCCCTCCGTATCCAACGCCATATTCCAGTCAACCCATCCAGACGTCCAGTGATTCAAATCCTAAAACATTTTTTGTTTAATTTTATTAATTAATAGAATAAACAATTATTCACAAAAACTAACGATAATTATATCCTTAGCGTATCTCTCAAAGGTCTGCCAACTGCCCAGAAATACGTGCTGTTGTTTACCCCTATAATCCTCACAGGCCTCCGTAGACAATATGAATTTGCTGGGATCGGTTTTATGTACGACATCCAGGTTTTGGACATTTGTATCAGTATTTATGTACCAGTGAAACGCCAATCCAGACACATATTTGGCCGCATCTTTATCGGTGTATATAGTGTTAGCCCACGTGTGAACCCATTCCCTCTGATCATCGTATATCATAAGTTGTGTTGTATTGACACCATAACCGGCCGCCTCCAGAATGGGTCCCAAATCCTTTTTGATGAAATCCCGTTCAAGTTCTGGAGTGAAACTCAGACTATTCCAGGGAAAGTTGGGTAATAATGATGCTGCATTTGGCTCATTCTCTATGGTTATGCCCCATATGGGAACTCCCGATGCTTTATATGAGTCTAAAAATCTATAAAATAAATAAATTATATTTTTATGTCTTAGTTTTGTTTAATTATATTTATTCATACTTAACAATGTAGTTTGCGTATGCTTTATAGTATTTGCCACCAGGCTCTCCTATTAAGTATCCACCATGGTTTAGTTCTGAATTATTTTTCATCCAGGCAGGTGGTGACCAGGGACTGCCAAAAACTCTCAAATCGCTGTTAATTTGTTTGGCTTTTTTAATTATTGGAATCTATATATAAATAATTAACATTATTAATTATAAGGCGTTACAAAAATAATTGATCTCAAACCTTAAAATCGAGGTCTTCTTTCGCCAAACTAAAGTGTTTGAAATCAAAGTCGTCTTTATTATTGTCGTCATAACTGTAGGCATGGGTCGAGAAATCTGAGCCTCCGATGGGAATGCGTCCCAAATTGTATTCAATTCCAGATTTAGAGAAATAGTCACTAATTATACGGTTTTGTAGTTTTTCGGGAAGAGTTTTAATGTTAAGTCCGGCGGCGTCTGTGAAGGCGCCCCCAAAACCAATAATCTTCTGATAAATGCCTTTACTTTTGTCAACAGTTATTGTCTGCGATTTGTTTGCTTTAAACCCAGAATTGTCTCCGAATTTCAATTCTGTTTTCTCCAACCGATCGCCACTTTTACTCGTCTCGAAGACAGTAACCACTCCTTTGGTGGTGATCTTGAGTGCATCCAAATCATCACAATGTGTTAGATTACAGACACAGACTGTTGACCCATACCCGTAGTCTCTTTGAATACATGGCTGACTAGAATTGACTAAAAATATAATATAAGTTATTTCTTAAATAAATATAACCAAAATATTTTAGATTGAAATTCTTACCAAACACGATAAACGACAATAATATAATAATACACTTCATATTCATTTAATGTAATATTTATATAAGATATTTTAAATTAAATAAATAATTATAATAAATTTATATTTAATTTATATATTCCACAATATGTGCACAATGTGAATAATTGAGTACTTTATGATCCTGATTATTTTAACTTGAAAGTAAAAATGTATTTTCAAGGATTTTTATTAAGTAGACTGTTGATATCTGTTGGAAGTACCTGAATATATCGTTAACTCAAACATATCAATAATACTTATCTTAAAATAATACTTTTTATATATTGATTTTCAATTATTTTTAACAATCTCTCAAAAGCTACAAATTAGAGTACATGTGTACACTTTTCTTCTGTTATAATTAGATATATTAAATATAGTTATAAATTGTAGTATTATAACAATTTATGCTAATACTGGTATGCTAAATGAATTTTATATAGTAATAACTGTAATACTTGTGTTTGTGGAAAAAAATCTGTTTAAATAATTATAGAAAAAAGTTATTAATAATTAATTCTACAAATTATAGACTACAATATATTCAAGCAATTGAAATATTATTGAATCTATTAAATAAATAATATTCTTTATAAATTGTGTATTTTTCACATATGTTTTAGACATGACTATAAAATAGCATTTTTGTTATTTTCGAAAATCTGATAAAAAATATATAAATTATACAAAAGTTAATTGATTTGAATTCTAATAATTGTGAGTAGTGTATTATTATATATATGTATTTATACACTATAAATTATATTTAACTACAAAAAAGCTCATTTATATTGAAAATAAAAAAATAAAAAGTAATTTAAGAATACTAAATAATGCCTTTCATGAGTGAATTAAAGCAAAATGATTACTTATCAAAAAAGAGATATTTAAGCAAATATTTATTTTGTAGTTTTAGAAAATTAATAAACAAATTATAAATACTGTGTAATAAACAAGTTTACAAATTTAGTATCTTTCCATGAATGTAATTTGTAATAACATACTTGATAAATATTTAATATTTATTTAGTATAATAAATGTACGTTTGAATTGATCGGGGTTTCAAAGAATGAGATACTTTTTGCTTCAATTCTGAGTCATTAATTACAATGTCTATGGGATCGTCACCTAAATTCAATGCAATGACTACAGTTCCCCCGTCCGGTCGCACAAAAGTAGTTGACAACAGTGTGTCAACAGAGGGTTCTTGTGTTTGAAACACCCGTTGAGATCCAGGGGTCAAGAATTTGCTGTAATGTCCCATAGCGTAGAAAATGGGATTTTTATAGTACTCCTGACTCGTGGCGTTCACTATAACGGGTGCGTCGACGAAGTTCTTCACCCAANGCGTAGAAAATGGGATTTTTATAGTACTCCTGACTCGTGGCGTTCACTATAACGGGTGCGTCGACGAAGTTCTTCACCCAATTGGGTCCGCCCTCCGTATCCAACGCCAGGTTCCAGTCAACCCAACCAGACGTCCAGTGATTCAAATCCTAAAACATTTTTTGTTTAATTTTATTAATTAATAGAATAAACAATGAATCATAAAAACTAACGACAATAATATCTTTAGCGTATCTCTCAAAGGTCTGCCAACTGCCCAGAAATACGTGCTGTTCTTTACCCTTATACTCCTCACAGGCCTCCGTAGCCAATATGAATTTGCTGGGATCGGTTTTATGTACGACATCCAGGTTTATGGCATTTTCATCAGTATTTAAGTACCAGTGAAACGCCAATCCAGACACATATTTGGCCGCATCTTTATCGGTGTATATAGTGTTAGCCCACGTGTCAGCCCATGATCTCTGATCATCGCATATCATAAGTTGGGTTGTATTGACACCATAACCGGCCGCCTCCAGAATGGGTCCCAAATCCTTTTTGATGAAATCCCGTTCAAGTTCTGGAGTGAAAGCCAGACTATTCCAGGGATAGTTAGGATATAATATTGGTCCATATGGCTCATTCTCTATGGTTATGCCCCATATAGGAACTCCCGATGCTTTATATGAGTCTAAAAATCTATAAAATAAATAAATTATATTTTTATGTCTTAGTTTTGTTTAAATATATTTATTCATACTTAACAATGTAGTTTGCGAATGCTTTATAGTATTTGCCACCAGGCTCTCCTATTAGGTATCCACCATGGTTTAGTTCTGAATTATTTTTCATCCAGGCAGGTGGTGACCAAGGACTGCCAAATACTCTCAAATCGCTGTTAATTTGTTTGGCTTTTTTAATTATCGGAATCTATATATAAATAATTAACATTATTAATTATAAGGCGTTACAAAAATAATTGATCTCAAACCTTATAATTGAGGTCATCATCTGCCAAACTAAAGTGTTTCAAATCAAAGTCGTCTTTATTATTGTCGTCATAACTGTAGGCATGGGTCGAGAAGTCTGAGCCTCCGATGGGAATGCGTCCCAAATTGTACTCAATTCCGGATTTAGAGAAATAGTCACTAATTATACGGTTTTGTAGTTTTTCGGGAAGAGTTTTGATGTTAAGTCCGGCGGCGTCTGTGAAGGCGCCCCCAAAACCCACAATCTTCTGATAAACGCCTTTACTTTTGTCAACAGTTATTGTCTGCGATTTGTTTGCATTAAACTCAGAATTGTCTCCGAATTTCAATTCTGTTTTCTCCAACCGATCGCCACTTTTACTCGTCTCGAAGACAGTGACCACACCTTTGGTGGTGATCTTGAGTGCATCCAAATCATCACAATGTGTTAGATTACAGACACAGACTGTCGACCCATACCCGTAGTCTCTTTGAATACATGGCTGACTAGAATTGACTAAAAATATAATATA